TGTTTTTAAAGCTGTCTAAAGAAAAAACAAGCACCAACAAACTGATTTGAGGTCCATTAGTAAAACGTTAGTAAATTCATGGTTTGTCAACCTTGACGAACCACAAACCAAAAACAAATTGCCATTTTGGCAGTTTGTCCCAATCTCTAATCATGACACTTTCTGCTCAAAGATGACTACAGAAAATAAGGCAGGGTGCCATAGCAATAATTTAGCAATTTATGTTTCTCCCGCCCCCAAATTGAAGCATTTGAACAGCATTTTGAAGAAATGCTATATAGTTAAGTAATTCTTCAACTCTTCAATTTCTATAGGCTAAGCCGCTGTGGGCTTCTACGTTTTTCATGCCAAACAATTCAAGCAACTGTGACCACCTGTTTCCTTCTGCAAAAGGACTTGGAGGCATGCCCATGGGTGGTTTTGTGATGTCGTAGACAGTTGGGGTGGGATGTTTATGGACTTCAGGGACACAATCCTAGTGTCCCTGAAAATTCTTTTAAGAAACAAATGTAGTGCCGAGTCATTGGTTTAGCAGTAGATCACCTCCTTGCAGAAAATAAAAATTGCTCCGTATTAGAAACACAAATGAAATAACTGTACAGAAAGGCTAATGGCTGTGATCGTTGTTGTTCTGTGTCATCTGGCTGCTTCCAACTATGTATCATGAAGTCAAAACCAACTGATAGCCACCCTAAACTGGCTGGATAACTCAGTGGTTTAAGTAAGCCAGAGGTCGGGAGTTTGATTCACCAGGGTGCTTCCTGTAAGTAGATCTGTTACCGGCCAAATCTGAATTCAGGTTAGAACAGTGCTGGGTTCGAGTTCTCCGGCAACGATCCAGCCTGTGTAGCCGTGGGCAAAGCTGCACAGTGCCAGGGCTGCCTCAGAAAAAGGCAACGGTAAACCAGTTCCGAGTACTGTACTGTACCCTCTACCTGGAAAAACCTGAAAAAGGGTCGGGTGAGTCAAAATTCACTTGATGGCACGAGATTATATTAAATTGACAGGGCTTCCAGGTCAGGGTCATGTGAGTCAAAATCCACTTGATGGCACGGGATTATATTAAATTGACAGGGCTTCCAGGTTAGCAAATCCTAACGAGATTTTCTGAGGCCTGTGAAATATCAGATGGTTTTATAAGCAAACAAGCAAGCTTATTTCCCCACTTGAGGCAGTCACTGGAATTGCGGGGTGTAAAAAAAGGAGCTAACACTTAACGCTACGAAATAATGGCTCGAATAATTATGGAAATAATTCCAGCCACGAAGTCTACTGCATAATCTTGCGCGTCTGCCTAGCCTACCTCATAGGGTTGTTGGGAAATATAACAATAAAAAAGCACGGGAAGACCCCTAGACGACTTCGCCCGGGACTCAGGGCGGGGTATACACGCCACCCTCAACAAAAGAGACCCCACGGCTGCCCAGAAGGAGCTGCTGTCGCTGTTACTCTAATACGAGGATGAGCAGGAGAGTCTCTAGATTTACACAGAAGCTTAAAGCAGCTCGTGACCAGGGCAGAGGGCGTTCCTCCTCCCTGGCGGTGAGCAGGAGAGTCTCTATAGATTCACACAGAAGCTTAAAGCAGCTCGTGTCCAGGGCAGAGGGCGTTCCTCCTCCCTGGCTTTGAAACGTAACCAGGAAGTCTGTGCTGCAGACAAAAACTACCCCCTCTATCATGAGGCATGATTTCGTGCTTCATTCGACAAATGAGGTTTCGCCCGGGCGGGCGCGCGCGCTACCCGGAAGCAGAGCTGGGCGAAGGCGGATCTCGGTCGAGCGACGGAAGGGATGGCCGGGCCCTGGCGCTGGAGGGACCCAGAGAGTGCCTCGAGACGCGAGGGAGCCGCTCTGCCCTCCCCTCGGCCCGGGGCAGCGGGGTGACGATGTGACTGGGCCGCCCGTCCCGTCCGTGCCTGGCCTTCCTTCCTTTCTCTGCCCCATACTTTGTTCCCCGACAGAGGAAGGTGAGGATTGGGAAGGGAAACTGCTTTGGAAGTGCATCGTTGCTGGGGAGGGAAAAAGAAGGTGGGCTGGTTCCCCCTCCTTGCTGATATAGGAGCCTCCTAGGGGGCAGCTGCTCTCCCTGAGAGGGTGCGCTTGCTTAGCAGCTTAAAGAAAAAGTGCACAAAATTGGGCTGGGGACGGCCTTCCCCTTCTCATGTACCAGACCCCCCCAAAAAACAAAGACTTCGGGGAGAGTCTGTGGTGCTCGTGGGAAATGCACTCTGCATATGCTTAGGAGTGCTCCCGTTCGTGTGTCCCAAAATGAAATCCAGCTGTTAAAAAGCCGGGGTCCAGCCCTCTCTTAAATCAGGCCTGAGAGGAAGGAAAGGGAAAAAAAAATAAGGGCGGTGAAGTGTCTGGCTGTCCCGTACAGGCTCCGCTCTGGAAAGTGTATTCTCGACTCGGTGAACTGATAGGACCTCCGGATCTTCGCTTGTTGGCAGGTACTTTGACTCTTGCATCTTCTGTGGACCGGTGCTGAACATCAGTCTCTGCAACTTGTTTTGTGTTGTGTTGGTGAACGGTTCTGTGTGCCTTCCCTTGAAGATATAGTTGCCAGTAGATTGGGATACTGTATGTATTTGGAAAATGTTTAGACCAATACTGTGTTGTAATCCACCTACTGCAGATTTGGTGGGGTGGGGTTCTTAGCAACAGGAGAGGCTGACCCTTCTCACAAATGTGCGTACTGGAACTCTTGCCATTTGAAACCTTGTCCAGTTTCTAGTTGGCTGCCCTGCGTGTGCTAGTTGATGGGATTCTTGGCTGTAGAACAAAATCAAGTGCTATATGCCATCTCGAAGACTTAACAGATTTATTTAGTGTGAGTTCTTGTGGATTACAGTACACTTCCTCAGACACTTTGTAAAGATGCCATATGTGTTTTGTTTTATTTTACCTGGTGAGATAGACTGACAGAGCTAATTCTTTGAAAATGTCACAGTGAGAGTCTTACAATCATCTAGCAAGGAATGTCACATTGTTGTTAAGGTTGGGTGCTTGTTTTGGATTATTTAATAGAAATTGTGCTTTGCTTATATTTTAAGTGTGTTATGTCTTGTACATTGAAACACATCATTGGGCCAAAGAGAAGGAAGAGAAAAGAATAGTCAATTATACAAGACTGAAGTCAGTCAACCTGAGTGTGCCATTTTGAAATCACAATCATATGTGCGAAACATTGCCTTCTATGGGTTTTGGAGGTTGTTGAGGAGGGGTTGTCACTACTGGAGCACTTTACAACAATCAAAAAATACATGCTTAGACTGTAGTCCAGGTCAAACAGGCACAACATGTCCTGCAACTTATTAAAATGCCTGAAGCTGCAGCATTTACTTTGGTAAGTTGTACTTGAGATCATTCTTAAAGCAATATGCTGAAAGAATTATTAGGAGTGTCTGCAACTACTGTGTAGAGTATTTAATAATCTGGTGTGGTGGATGGCTAGTTAGTTAGGATGTCCAAACTGAAATTTCATTGGAGCACCTAGTAACAGTATCCATTTTAGCTTCAGCCTGTCAAAAGTGTAAGTAAGCATTAAAATGTAAGAACATAAGAATTACTTTCTCAGTTCGTTTAGCCTATCTAGTCCAGCATTTTAAAATCCATAAACATTTCTGAGCTGAAGAGGAAGGGTGTGGTGCATTTTCCCTGTCTAATACTGTATTCTGTTATAGATACTGTACAGCGTGTGTACATGGAAACGTCACAACTGCTATTGTTAACAGAGACACTAATCTGTCTTTCAAGAAATGCAGAATTATATCAATTAAAATAAATTTATAACAATCCAAGAGCCATATTGATCTGAATTCATCAAACTCATACAGTATTCTTAACTCTCTTTAATCAATAAGACTTACAAAATCTTCTGGTTTTAACATCTGGGAACTCCCCTTGGTGTATTGTCTGATTATCTCATGTCTGCATATTTCCCTCTCCCATGTTCAGAGTGAACTTTATATGAGAGCAAAACTGTAAACAGTCTTGAAAGTTAAATAGAATCTATCAGAACCCTTAAATCTCTGAGCTGTGCTTATAAATACTGCAGACAAGGTTAAACTGTTAGTTTTATGGTAGCTTCTAGATTATGCTGCTTTTTGCTAGTTTCTAGAATTTGCAGTTAGTAATAGATGCCTGTAGCAGTTTTGGTTCTCCACCTTCTACCCCTCCTGACCAATTCATGGCTATAAATCTCATGTTGTACTGTGGTGAATGATGTAGCTCGTGATTCTTTGTTGGCAATGCTATCTGCTTTTTCTGTGTGGAAAATAGAGGATGTGGGTTAGAGTTATATCAAGTTCTTTAGATCACAGCTGTTAAGTGAGAACTACGCTTGCACTAAAGAGTCTTCAAGTATAATGCACTTCCCTGAATGGTCAGACTCTATACCCTGGACTTCAGCTTCTTTCAGATAAGATAGATCATTCGAGATCAGCGGTATCAGTGTTTGCAAGTATACAAACAGACTCTTACAGGCAACACTGCTGCAAATTCAGCTCCAGTATCTGCACCCTGAGCATGATTCAGATGTAGCTAACTTAGGCAAAAGTTATTCAGCTTGGTCTCATCCAAATTCAGACTTTCCATAAATTGTTTTTCTGCTTTTCACACAAGCTGAATAGTCAACAGTGCCCCTGAAGGGCACAAGATTTTCGGTTATCAAGAAAAGTGTGTGTGTGTGTGTGTGTATGTGTGTGTTCATGAACCTGCATTAATTTTCACTGATGAATCCGTTCACAGAAATCAAGATAACCAGATATGGTAGTAGCTAATTTATTCTGGATATGCTTTGGGAAGACAGGCAGTACTATATGTATAAAAGCAAGATAGCATAGCTGTACAGCTCAGTCTGTAAGTGTGCTGTAGCAGTGTGAATTCAGCCACTAGACTGCATTTTAGCAGGCAAAGCATTATTCCATACTGCACAAGGTGGGACAGAACAAAAGTCTATGTGCAATATAACTACTTGCTTTGAAGTTAGCTATTAGAAAAGCTGAGATGGAGTGATACAAATCCATTCTTTGAATCTTATTAGCTCCTTGGCTGCTAAAATGCCAGGAGATGGGAGCTCTCTGTGGCTTGTATCCTGCCCCTATCAACCTGTAGCTCACACAGCACAGGTGTACTGCTGCATGGTCAAGAGCGTGAGCCTGCACTAGCACTGAGAATGGTACGATCTTTAATCCAGAATAGAGATGGGCACAAACCAAACTGCAAACCAGGAAAACAAACCAGGCCTGTTCCTGGTTCAGTTTATGATCCGGTTCAGGGATCCCATTTTGCCGAACCAAAACAAAGTGCCAAACTTTTTTCCCTTTGGCCAGCTGGGCCTGCTGCCTCTGGACCTGCGGCCCAGGGCAGGTCCATGCTCAGAGGCAGCGGGCCCGGCTTCTGGCAGGGAAGCCTGTCCCATTGCCTCTGAGGGTGGCAGTGGCAGCAACAGGAGCAGGTAGGGAGGTGATGGGGCAATGGGAAGGGGGTGAGGTGGGCAGTGGAAGAGGCAGAGGGCAGGAGCAGGCAGGGGCCCCCCAGCACGAACCTGAAAAACCAGTTTGTTTTTCCGGAGGTTCATGGTGGGTCGTGGTCAGCCAAGAACTGTGAACCGTCACAAACTACCAGTGTATCTGACTCGTGCCCTTCCGTAGTCCAGAACAGGCTGCAAAGATTGCAGATAGTAGCTGTGCTTGTCCTCCTCCCTCACAGCCTATAGTCCAGAACAGGCTGCAAACATTGCAGATAGCTGTGCTTGTCCTCCTCCCTCACAGCCTTTAAGAGGTTGCTCAAAACAAAGCTGTTTACTAAAGCCTTTGAGAACATTATCTTTTAATGTCTTATAGACTGATCATTTTGATTATTTTTGTTTGCCATTGTTTTGATCCTTTTGTGATTTACTGTATTAGATTATTGCTGCTGTATTTGTGTAGGCACATGGTCCGTTTTGAAAGATACTACTTGTGATTAATATTATCCTTATGTTACTTTAGATGTAAAGTTCCCAGAGTAGTACTCAGCACTAATTGGCGCAGTATACAAGTGTAATTAATAAATCAATAATTGAATGAGAACTTTAGTACATGATACATTGAAATGGTTTGCTGCCATGTAGCTTATCAGACTGGTGTTGGTCAGTTGCCTTTTTGATGATAATGAATGAGCCTGGTGTCTCTTCTGCATTTTCAACCTGTACAAGTGATTACCCATATTTAATTTAATTATAATTGGGCATTTCTCTCTTAGTGTTCCTCGTGTTATGCAAAATAAAGTCTAATATGAACATAAGTTCTTTTTGTCTAGGAAAGTAGATGAGATTAAATGAAGTAGCCTTCTGCCAAGAACCTCTTTTAGCCAAAATAAATATTGCATGCTGATAAACCAACTAGAATTCCTTCTTTCTGCTTAGTTCTTTTTTTCTAGGTGAGATAGTAGAAAGTTGACTGAAGATCACAACTTGGGACAAATGGTTTATTCTCCTTTTCAAGGATAAGTCTATGCTTATCTCTGGTTTTGAACTTCTTTAGTATTTTGTCAAAAGAAGGAACACTCAGTAAACTCAAGAGAGAAGTCTAACATGAAATAGTTCTAAACTTCAAAAAGGCAAAAGGAAGAGCAGACCACTTAATACACTTGTTTCTAGATTTTGTCCTAATTAATTCAAACAGTACCTCATTGAATCAGGTGAATACTTTATTTTTTTGGGACAGCAGCTGATCTGAGGGACGACCTAAGGCTTACTCTCTATGATCATTTCCTCTCAAGTGTGTGATCTGGTACTCAGGTAAGATTGAGTCAGGTGAAGTATTTTTTTCTTGGGCATCCCTACACTCTCAGAGTAAACATTGGACTACATAGAGTTACAACGATGGATGTGGTAACAGTTGCTGCGTACAGTGATTTTAAAAAGCCATCCTGAGGACTCTAGAGCCATGTTAGCCAGATACAGTGGGGTCTTGACTTAAGAACGGCTTGAGTTAAGAACATTTTGACTTAAGAACCACTCTCTCAGGAAAATATTGACTTGACTTACATACTTAGATTTGAGTTAAGAACTGAAAAAAACCACGTGGGAGGCAGGGAAAGTGCAAAATGTGAACTTTCAGTTAACTATTGGCCAGTGAAAAGGGTGCCTGTCTGCTTCCTCACTCCTCCCAGTGTTTAGAGGAAAAGCCATCCTGAGGACTCTTAGAGCCATGTTAGCCAGATAGACTGTTGTCATGACTTCAAATATTGCTTATGGTTGTATTCGTGTACTAATTCTCTCTATGCATACATTGTTACTATAGTAGTTGTAGTCCGAAGCCTCTGCATAGCCAAACAATCTCACTTGTCTCTTACAACTGAGGTAATGTTGTGGAATACAACTGTTGGTATGCTCTCTTTGGAAGATTATCATATTTGTCTGAGGCATGGGCTTATCCATCCCTATTTAATTCATGTAACACAATTGTTTCATATCTAACTTATTTCATTTATTTTATGCTGCCCACACTGCCCAAAGGTCTCTGGGCGGCTTACAACATTTACAATACAATAAAAATTCGTAACAATTAAAATATATATATAATGGCCATCGGACCCACAGCTAATATTATTTCAATTACAAGCCTTCTGGAACAGGAAGGTTTTGACCTGGTGCTGAAATGTCATCAGTGTCGGCACCAGACGAATCTCAGTCGGGAGGGCATTCCATAGTCTGGGGGCAGCTGCCGAAAAGGCCCTTTGTCTACAAGCCATCCCTCTTACCTCCTTGAGGGACGGCTCTTTCAAAAGGGCCCCTTGGCTAGATCTTAACTGCCGGGTAGGTTCATATGGAAGGAGGCGGTCTTTCAGGTATCCAGGGCTCAAGCAGTTTAGGGCTTTATATGTCAAAACAAGCACTTTGAATTGGGCCCGGGCAGCAACTGGTAGCCAATGTAACTTATACAGAATCGGCTTGATGTGTTCCCTGGTGGCTGCACCACTCGCCAGCCGCGCTTCTTCATCTTCCCATCACTATCGCACTTGTATTGTTTGGTTGATTGATTCCTATTTATAGCAACCCTGGAAGGGTTTCCAAGATATGTGAGATATTTAAGTAATGGTTTTACAGTGCAGCCCGCAAGTAAATTTCCATAGCCAAAGGGAGGTTTGGACTCAGGTCTCCTGAATCCTAGTCCATTACTATGTTTACTACACTACATTACACTGTTGTGACTTAGGAAGATACACTAACATAAGCCAATAAACTGACAACTACAGAGAAAATAGCAAAAAGAGTACTGGAATTTGAGGATTCGCCCTTTCTGTAGTCTTCATATCCATGGACAATCTAATAATTATACAGTTCCGCTTTCGTTTCTTTTTAACATGTCCCAGTTGATACACAGATGTCTCTGTCAAATTTGGATTGGGGAGGACTAAATTTAAATACCTTAATAGCTATGAAGTTACCAATAGCTTGTGAGTTACCAAGTATCTCTTATTCTAATTTACTTATCAGGGTTAGTGGATGGCTTAAGCCATGCACGGCAGGAAGAGTGAATAATATATGCCATATTGGCAAGATAAAAATATACTGAATAAGTAAAATTCAACTAAGTTTATTCCAAAAGAAGTGATGTGGGGATCAAATGGGAATTTGAGTCCAACATCTTGGTTCCCTACCCTGTCCTTCTCGCATTTGGAAGACTAGAACATGAGAAATAAACTGTTCCATCACTTTGCTGAATTCTTTATCCCTAGCGTGTTGCAGGCAGTTGAATATAACATGTCCTGTTGGCATCTATAGCGAGACTATGTTAGTAATTTTTCATCTGTATCATTACATATTGGTCCACCTGTTTTTTTCAGAGTCCTTAATGATTACTTTCATTCTTTAAGGTGCAGAGCATGGAGAATGATGAATTTCCGTCAGAGGATGGGATGGATTGGCGTGGGATTATATCTCATAGCAAGCGCAGCTGCATTTTACTATGTCTTCGAAATCAACGAGACTTACAACAGACTAGCGCTGGAGCACATTCAGCAACCCCCTGAAAAACTTAGAGAAGAAACTACTTGGATGCACTCCTTAAAAACACGGCTATTGTCGGTACCATTTTGGCTGTGGACCCTTATCTTTTTAATCCCTTATTTACAGATGTTCTTGTTCCTTTATTCCTGTACAAGAGCTGATCCCAAAACGGTGGGCTACTGCATCATTCCTATCTGCTTGGCTGTCGTTTGCAATCGTCACCAAACATTTGTGAAGGCCTCCAATCAAATCAGCAGACTGCAACTGATTGACACCTAAATCAATCTTTGTTTTCCTATGAGTGGTTTTAAATGATCAAGATGCTGGGTTGCATCAGTTAAACATACAAATGGAACTTGAGATTCTTTACTACTACTACTGAATAGCATTTCTGCCTTCTATTTTTTAAATTTGTTGATTTAAAGTATGGGTATGTTCTATTTGGTGGAATAAAGAACCTTTTTTGAGGTTATAGGGTGACATTTTTCATATTTGCCTTATTATGCAGAATTTTTACACTTCACTGGAAGTCTTTGTGAGGAAATGTCTTTGAAACTTTACTTCACTGTGCCCCCTGCTCCCCATCTTCAAGCTTTCCTGAAGAGGAGAATCAGCAAAACTGACTTTTCTTTTGTTATAACGTGTAGGGTTTGAAATGATCATAAAAGTGGCATTTGAGACATTGTTGTGCTTTCTCTTTCAATAATGTTGCACTCAATAAAACAGGGCTCTATTTACACACATGACTAAATGAAAATGAACTCTTGAGTTTTTTCCTGCCAGAGTGTCAGTTTTTATGAGATGGCATTTCCATATATGGGTAGAAAATATACATACATGCATGTATATCTGATACAGTACATACATGGTACGTATGCAGATATACAGCCTGCAGCCACATACCTATTGACCCATATAGTTTGATTTTAAAATGTAGTTGTCCATATTCCTTATTGGTGTTCTTGTCTTTCAACAATTTTGATGCTTAACCGACATCATTCTTGGTCTAACTAGTGCATTCTTTCTGTACATTGAATAAAAATTTCCCGATGAGCACTCTTCTGTCAAGTAGGACAGCTAAATTCAAATCTGTCCTATTTGCAGTACCATCGGCAGATCATCATTAGCTGCCATGTCTTTTTGTTCACAGAAGTACAAGTATTGTCTAAGATCCTCTTGCATAAATTTATGCCCATGCAGGTTGATGACATCATCAACTGGGATTTATCAGCCATCAAATGTGTCCTATTTTACACACCCCTCCCCAAGTTCTGAGATGCCTTCTGGATCTCTTTTGATCTGGTTAAGCCTTTGGGTGCCTTGGGATTTCCGGGGGGGGGGAGATCCTTTAATGCCCCAAAATTGCCACTAAAAGTTCCCATCCAAGAGACAGAATCATGAGTGATTTTCAGGCATTAAAGGCTTCTACCCCCACAGAGGATCCCAAAGGCTTCCCCAGGATAAAAGGGTTCTAGAAGGAAGCTTGGACCCAGAGAGGGGGTGGAATAGGAAATCTCTAATGACTGATAACAACTTGCAGCTGATGATAGAAGGAAGCTTGGACTCAGAGAGGGGGGTGGAATAGGAAATCTTTAATGACTGATAACAACTTGCAGCTGATGACATGATCAGCTTGCATAAGTGTAAAATTATATCATAGGATTTTGGCCATTGTGTGGGTAATCCTGTTATTGTGCATAATCATGGATGTCACTGCCATAAGGAAATATGGTGCCTCTTAGAAATGGGGGTGGGGAGCACAAACAGGATTTTGTTTAGGCAAAATTCTTATCACATATATTGGACATTACTTCTCTGAGTACTTCTCAAATACAGAGCACAGAGATTGTGTTCTTTAAAAAGCCAGGTTTTCTTTCCTGAAGCAGATTTCAACAGTGTTCATTACATACTGCAGCTGGCAAGAAGAGACAACAAAGTTCCTTTGAATCAATCTTTACTTCTTGTGAGTAGTGGGGTAATCCCTAATTGGGACAATTCCTATTTTTTCTTGCATGTTTCATCTTAAAAATCTGTTCAGATGCTGAGTTCAAACACCAAATCATCACATTCTTGATTACAGCCCAGCATCTGATTAATTGGTTGTTTCAATAATTAAAACATATGTCTGTAACTCAATAGAGCCTTTATATTATCAGAAAGCACAATCTAAAATTCTGGAGCAGTTTACATGCTTTTGCACTTAATGTTTCTCCTTGATCCTCTGTGTGCAGAAAGGTGAACATTCAGATTCAGATATTCTGCCAAAGTTACGGAAGCTTAACTAATTTTTTTTTTAAAATCTGAACAGATAAAGCATTGTTTTTCCATTGGCTGGCAAACTAATTGAGTGTGCTGTTTAAAGAAATGAAACACAATTGCTTCTTTCTTTGGCCTGCTGAATCGTGGATAGGAGAGTCATTTTTCAAAGCAGAATTCATGAAGGCCAGAAATTAAAAACAAGCAATTCTGAAATACTGTGTGCTGCCCACCACTGATTTAATTTAAAAAGTGATGCAGTAACTGCATCAGCGTTGGGGAAACAAAAGAGAGGTCAGAAATCTGATATGTAGGGTGGTCTAAAAGTCTGTTTTAAATCTTAGTAATCTTCAAATTGCAGAGCTGGAAGGGACCCTATGGATCATTGAGTCAAAGCCCTGTCAAGGAGGCACAGTGGGGAATTAAACTCCCAACCTCTAGCTCTGCAGCCAGATGCCTAAACCACTGAGCTATCCAGCAGTTATGTGCCATCATGTTGCCTCCAACATTTAGCAGCCCTATGAATGAGTGATCTCCAAAATATCCTGCATTTGGAAAGTGTTCAGAAGCTTTAGTTTGTTCAAAATGCTGGGACCAGACTGCTGACCAAAGCTGGTTACAGGGAGAACCAACATTCATTGTGACAGGTTCACTGTGTACCAGTCTTTTTTGGGCACAATTCAAAAATATTGATTCTGACCTATATACAGTAATTACTTGGGTCTGAATTACTTGGACTAATCTGGGCAGGCTTTTTTCTTGATCTCATCATCTTCACAGGTGTGCTTGGCAAGGACCTGAAAGACAGCCTTTTCAGCCACCTTGCAGGGTCCCCACAGCAATCTTCTGTTTGGTATCCCTAGGGAGCTGCAGGTGGAGGAAGGACCTGAAGGTCCACTTCTACCAGCAAAGCTGCATACAACTAAATATGAACCAGGTCCTTTGCAGGACCACTTGCAATTCCGGGCAGGAAAGATAACAAGGATAGCCCCTTTCACCTAACAACTCTTTAAGTAAATGATACAGGAACTTTAAGGAAAACTTTTAAAATATAGCTTTAGTTTTGTTTATCTTCAAAACAGTAGCTGGCTTCACATTGCTGCTATGGAGGTACTTTAGATATTGAATGTAAAGAAAATATACCAAATACTCAGCATTATGTATTTAGGAATGCTTGGCTGCTGTGCAGACGACTTAGGATGAAGGTCAAATACTCAGCATTATGTATTTAGAGAGGTTAACAATTCATATCCAGCTTCTCATCCAAATCCAGAGGAAGCTTCAGATTGTAATCACTACCCTAACTGCCTCTCCAGGAATCATGCATTAGCCTTTCGCTTGGGAAAGAACAAGTTGAGGAAGGAACATAAAATCACAGAGAGGTTAGCAATTCATATCCAGCTTCTCATCCAAATCCAGAGGAAGCTTCAGATTGTAATCACTACCCTGCCTCTCCAGGATTCATGCATTAGCGTTTCGCTTGGGAAAGAACAAGTTGAGGAAGGAACATAAAATCACAGAATGAAGTTGGAAGGGGCCTAATAAGGCCCCGACTTCAACTCCCTACTCAGTGCAGGAATCCAAATCAAAGCAAATCTGACACACTTGTCCAATTTTCTCTTGAATGTGCCTAACAATGGAACACTCACCACCTCCTGAGGTAATTGGTTCCACTGTGGTACTACTGTAACAGTTACGAGGTTTTTCCTGATGTTCAGCCTAAATCTGGCTTCCTGTTGCTTGTAAGCCCACTATTATGTGTCTTGCACTCTGGGATGATCAAGAACTGAAAAGTGGAATACCACTGCCTTGTGTAAGAGTTACAAGGTTTTTCCTGTTATTCAGCCTAAATCTGGCTTCCTGTTGCTTGTAAGCCCACTATTGTGTGTCTTGCACTCTGGGATGATCAAGAACTGAAAAGTGGAATACCACTGCCTTGTGGAATCCTGCTGCTTAAAGTGGCCACATGCTTTTAGGGAACAGAGCCCAATGCTCTGTCCTACTGCTAGGTCAGTGATGGCGAACCTATGGCATGAGTATCACAGCTGGCACGCAGAGCCCTTTCTGCAGGGATGCAAGCTATAAGTCGCCAGATTGCTACTCCCCCCCCAGCCAAACCTCAGGAGGTGGCTGCAGCCATGGTACTGGTGCTTCAACAGGCAGCAGGCCATGAGCAGCTGGCAGTACTGGCGCTTCAACAGGCAGCAGGCCATGATCTGGAGCAGCTAGCACTGGTGGGAGATCTGGAGTGGGGTCTTGAGGCACCTCTGTGCCCAAGATTCCCACTTCCGCTGCCACTTCGTTTGGCACACCACCCACTGGGTCCCCCCCCCCCCCTTTGGGGCCAGTTTGGGGACTTAGGCCCAAAAAGGTTCGCCGCCACTGTGCTAGGCCTTTCTTGAAGGAAAAGCTGGGCATGCAGAGGGAGATTCTCCTGCTGCAGCCATCAACCCTATCTATCTTGTTCCAAAAGAGAAAATGTATGTACAGGCAATTTTGGTCTGATATTACCTTTTGTTCTTGAAGTTTAAAAAAATTCTAAGCAGCCTAGACAATCTCTACCCACCTCTCCAGCATCATCATGCTTGTCATGATGTGAATTTATTGTCTTTAAATACTTATTGTATTTCAAAATTTCTCATACACAACACATTTAAAAACCAGGAAGACCATATCAGATACACACCATTTTATCTAGCTGTTTAAACAAATCAGATGATATTACAAACAAATAACCACCTTTATGTTAAGTAATAATAAACAGAGAAAAGATTGGCATATTTCTAGTTGCCAAAACAGCCCTGCTTCTTTTGGCTGAAAGTGTCTATACAATATATTTCCAATGACTTGGAGAAAAATATATTCAGTTTTCATCAGGAGTGTCTCTTTTTTCGTCAGGAGTGTCTCTTTGTCCGCTTTAATGGTGGTCCATCAGTACATGATTTGGCATGGACATGATTTTCTTCTTCATCTTCAATGTCCTCATCATCTTCATCACCTTGTTTAAAAAGTGAATCATGTTAGCTAATTTCATAGAGTACTTTCCACATTAATGCTCACCTCAGACATTTCATTCTGCCTGATAAATTTATATATAATTTATCTAACTTACAGTTTTGCTTCTATACTTCCTGCACCGGTATCCAACCCTAGCCATTTACTTACAGATGAAGACATTTAAAGTCAAAACCATGGCAAAACAATAATGAAAGTCATCTTTTGTAAAATGCACAGTGAGTTAAGAAAATATATACAGGACTCACAATTTTAAATGTTCACCTAATTTTTAAAAATAAGAAAAAATAAAATAAACAAGAAGTGTCCCTTGAAAGCTGAAACCTATCAAAGTAAGAAGGTCATGGGACAGACCACTCCTCTGTGATGTAAGATTTTACTGTTGTTGTCTAACTTTCAGGGACCTGTTCTACAAGGGGCATTCAAATGCAATCTAAAGTGAAAAATGACAGTTTGCTACAACCTAGAGTCTAGACCTCAGCATTTTTAAAAAAGAGTTGACAAAAAAACCCACTAAATCGTATGACAGCTATGTGACATTGCATAACGAATTACACATTGCAGTACTATTGTTTACTATTGTTAAAGTCACTTTTAAAACTTGAAGTAAAATAAGGAACAGACTGGAAGGATCGCAAAAAAAAAATCCTGCTTCTGGATTTCGCCACAGGGATATGGCTAGACAGGATGCAGCACCCGTTGATGTTTTGGCAGAACTTGGAAAAGTTTCTTTGCTCGACTACTGCTTCCAGAATCATGGGCTTTATTGCCGGCTGAGGGATTCTGGAATTTGTAGTCCAGAAAAGGGATTTGTCCTGGGCCAGAATGCCCGCTCCTTCCTGCTTCCTGAAGGCGGGAATCTAGTATTCCTAAACCCAGTCTGTGGAGCTTCTCACCTTCGAGTCCGGCTCGGTCGCCAGATCCCTGGCCGCTCTCCTGCTCCACGAGAGGGCCCAGCATGGCGGTAACTTGTTCCTGCGACTGATCCAAGCCGCTGATCAAGCCCTGCAGCTCTCCCTGCGGCTCGCAACGGACCCGCAACGGCCGCTTCAGCCCATCCCGGCCCGTCAGCTCTGCCCGCAGCTCCATCCCGCCGATTGCGCCGGAAGCAGCCAGCCGGTGAGGCCGAGGGAACGCCCTCCCAACGAAAGCGGAAGCAGAAGGACTCGGAAGTGCATGCAACTGCTTATTAACCCCCCCTTTTTTGGCTCCACCCGCTTAGCCCACGCGCCTCGCCCATCCCCCTTCTGCGGGCGAGAGAGGAGGTCACGCGGCTCCTGGACGTAATCACCCAACGGTGTATGACGTCGCCGTCTCATTCCTTTGCCGTTGTGATTGGCTGTGGGAGCCTCAGGTGACGACGGTCACGTGCAGCGGCACCCTTTTCCCCGCCTCCCCTCTCCCTCGAGCTTCGTTCCTTTCTTGCCTCTGCGTCGCGCGCGCTCTCGCGTTCTGTTTCCGGCGCGCGCATGCGGGTGCGTTTAACTTGAGGAGGGCGGTTGAGCGTTTTCCCGCCTTTTTCCTTCCCTGCGTCGACCAGAGGGAAGAAAAGGGAAGCCGCTTTTGAGTCCGTGAGATGGAGAAAGACACCGCGGCTTTCCCTTCTGGCTTGGCTGACAGCCCTGGCGCTGAAGGCGAGGGCGATGACGACGGCGACGACAACAACAACAGCGGCAGCAGCCACCACCGCGACAACCCCGACGCCCCGGGCGGGGACGAAGGCGAGCGGAGCGGCGAGGAGCCTGTGGTGTCGCTGGCCGAAGTGCTGGCCGAGAACGAGGAGCTCGAGAAGGAGGCGCGGGCCGTCCTGGGCGGGAGCGACCACGAGCGGTGCAGTTACTCCCAGGTGAGGAGGGAGGCCTGGAGGAGAGGGGTGGGGGAGAAGGCGCTCCTCTTTTCCACTCCCCTTCGCAGCAGGGTCGTGGCTATCCCGGCGTTGTGGGTCCCCACCGGTCCTCTCCTTCTAGGCATTATAGCAATTACGCTTCGCCTTAGTTTATATGTAAAACGCCCAGAGCAGACACATTCTGAATGGGCGGTACATAAATCTAATAAATAAATATAAATATTGCCCAGTAAATCAGTTGCACGTAGTGACATGCAATAGAAATGGAAGGAGTAGCCAAATAATTATGCCCCCATCCGAGTGGCCCCTGAATCAAATTTCTTGACATGTGTTTATTTATTTAATTTCTAAACCACTTCCTCTGATCAGTAGTCACTCTGGGTAGTTTACAACAGCACGCAGCATAAACATAGATATAAATATTGCCCAGTAAATCAGTCGCACGTAGTGACATGCAATAGAAATGGAAGGAGTAGCCAAATAATTATGCCCCCATCCGAGTGGCCCCTGAATCAAATTTCTTGACATGTGTTTATTTATTTAATTTCTAAACCACTTCCTCTGATCAGTAGTCACTCTGGGTAGTTTACAACAGCACGCAGCATAAACATAACTCAACCAAACAACAATTAAAATTAATTTAATTAATAGGTCTCCTCCAGACCACTTTCTCTGATTCTTATTCCTTCCTGCCCTGTCACCGCGACCCTGTTTCCCCCAAAATAAGCCCTAACCTGAAAATAAGCCCTAGCATGATTTTTCAGGATGCTCATGATATAAGCCCTACCCAAAAATAAGGCCCAGTTAAGTGAAACCCCACCCTTCACCATCGTGCAGCAACCAGAAGAAGATGACATGGCTGCATTTGAATAAATGTAGACTATTGTACATGAAAAAGATAAAACATGCCGTGAAAATAAGCCCTAATGTGTTTTTAGGAGCAAAAATTAATATAAGACCCTGTCTTATTTTCAGGGAAACACAGTATATCAGTATCTCTCTCAGGTTGGAACAAACTGCATTTCTGTCTGACGTATGTGAATGTATGATCTTGCTGATGCCTTTAAGAATCCCTTTCTTAATAGTACAGAATTTAAGATTAATTGGAAGCTTTTGGTGTGGAATTAAACTGCTATGAGACCATGTAACATTCACGTACTATTTAGCATTTCTTAAGCAATGGTTTCTGTTACAAAGAGAGTCGCAAAGAGAGTATGGCTTAATAAGAAGCTGACGGCATATACCAAGATCCAGGTCAGGTCTACCTGTGTACTGAGCACACTCCTGTACTTCAGTGAGTCCTGGACCCTTTGTGCACGGCAGGAGAGGAAGCTGAACACGTTCCATATATACTATTTAGCATTTCTTAAGCTTAATAAGAAGCTGACGGCATATACCAAGATCCAGGTCTATAGAGCCTGTGTACTGAGCACACTCCTGTACTTCAGTGAGTCCTGGACCCTTTGTGCACGGCTGGAGAGGAAGCTGAACACGTTCCATATGCGTTGTCTCCGACGGATTTTTGGTATTCACCTGGAAGGACAAAGTTTATTTATTTATTTATTTTATATCCCGCTTATCTGGTTGGTTAAGACCACTCTAAATAGTTCTAAATAGAGTAGTCCTAGAACGAGTTGGAGTTTTTAGCATGTATACATTACTGAAACAGCGACATCTACATTGGCTCAGGCATGTTGTGAGAATGGCTGAGAGTCGGATTCCGAAAGATCTCCTGTATGGAGAATGAGTGCAGGAAAATTGCCCCAGAGGGAGACCACAGCTGCGATACAAGGATATCTGCAAGCGGGATCTGAAGGCCTTAGGAATGGACCTCAACAGATGGGAAACCTTGACGTCTGAGCGTTCAGCCTGGAGGCAGGCAGTGCAGCATGGCCTCTCCCAATTTGAAGAGAAACTTGTTCAGCAGGCTGAGGCAAAGAGGCAGTACTGAAACCAGCAAAATCAGGGAGCTGGACAGATTGTATTTTTCTCCATTGTTGAAGGGATTGTCACTTTTGTATTGGCCTTCTGAGCCACATTAGACTCTGTTCCAAGACCTATATTCAGAGCACGTTACCACAGTCTCTCGAGACTGAAGGATATCTACAAAAACGGTTTCTGTTAATAGTATATTATTTTATTGCATGTACTTTTGACTTCTCACTGCTGTTTTTTAAATAAATGAGCCATAGTAATGAATACATGCCGCTAATGCTGTCTTTACAGTGGGAGGCAAAATTGTGTTGTGGCCTCTTGCTCCTTGTTGAATCAAGAGTAAATTAAGCAGCCTATCCTATAGTTTAGAATGTGGATGTTTTTAAATGGTGAATTCTCATTTTGATATTCTTTGCATTCTGATTTTTATACTGCTTTTGTCTCTTCAGGGTGCTGTAAAAAGACAAGCCTTATATGCCTGCAGTACTTGTACACCACCAGGAGAAGAACCAGCAGGGATCTGTTTAGCATGCAGTTATGAATGTCATGGAACCCACAAACTATTTGAGCTATATACAAAAAGGTAACCTTGGTTTTAAAATATGATGTTACTCTTAGTTTATTGTGGATTAAGGCATTCAAATGAGTTACTCTTTTTAAACCCTGATGGCATGCTCTGAAATGCTTGAAGATGGGTAACTGTTGTCTTGTTCATTAATGTATAATAACTCAGATGCAATGTCTGTTCTTTGTTATAGAAACATTTCAGTAGGATTGAATAGCATCATCTGGCCAGTAGTGTAAATTCGTTTGACGTTTTGTAATTGGTAACAAATCTACCTTTCATCCAGATTCTGTTAGATTTAGTAGATGTTCACAAAACTAAAGTATAACTGACCTTCTTTTTCTTTTAAGAAACTTTCGTTGTGATTGTGGAAACAGCAAATTCAAAAATTTGCGATGCAAATTACTTCCAGTAAGTATAAAAATATATTTTTACAGGGAGGTGGTGGACAAATTACTGCTTTCCTTGTTTAAATTTATGCTTCTCTCCCCCCCCCCCAAATAATTTCATATTTATACAATTCTTTGAAAAATGGTAATGTTGGTGTGATATTATTGTTGAATATATTATTGGTCACAATATACTCGCTAGTAATATCTGACCAACATTACTGTTTGGTGAACTGGCTGGATAGCTCAATGAGTTAGGTATCTGGCTGCAGAGCTAAGTCTTGGGAGTTCAGTTCCCTTCTGTGCCTCTAAGGAAAAGAGCCAGTTTGTGTGGCCTTGTGCAAGCTTCACAGTCCCAAGAGTGCCCCAGAAGAAGGTAAAAGTAAACTACTTATGAGTAATCTTGACTTAGAAAACCCTGAAAGGGGTTGCCATAGGTCATAATTGACCTGATGGCTGCTACTGCAGGTGATGATGAAGATTTGGTGGGCAGTGGTCCTAGTAAGCAGAAGATGTGCCTGCTGCTCTCGCTGGATATGTGTGCACATCCAAAGATATATCTGATCACCTGAGTGAAGGTAGAGTATACAGTACATTAAAAAAGGAAATCGCATCCAGATGAACATTCATATATGTATTTGGTCTGTGCAAAGTAATGTACTGCAAGATATTTTTCCTATACAGTCAACCCTCGACTTACGAATGGCCCATTTTGACTTACAAACTGCTCTGATAGGAAAATATGGACTCGCCTTGAGAACTTGAATTCGCGTTACTAACAGGGAAAAAAGTGCGGGGAAAGGGAAATGTGAATTTTCAGTTAACGAAGAGGCTGCTTGTTTGCTCACTCATCCAAGTGGTTAGAGAGTGGGAAGAGAGACCTGGGACTGACTGGTATTGTCATTTTAAAATGTAAAATTTAGTTTAAAAGGTGCTTTGTTCGGGTTAAATGGTGCTTGGGTAAAAGGGAGCTCGGTTTGAGTTAAAACCTGCTTGGGTAAAAATGTGCTTGGTTGCTATCTGCTTTTGATTTAAAAGATGCTTGGTTGAAAAGGTGCCTGTTTTGGTGTAAAAGGTGCTTGATTTAAAAAGTGTTATTTTTAAACAGTGTTCGTTCCCTCCATGGTTTCCTGCCTTTTTTTTAACTTATGCCATCTTAGGTTAGACAAAAGAAAAAATTCTGCCCCTGGTGGTAGGAACGGATCAACCGGCTTAGTTCCCATAGGAACTAATGCTTCGACTTACAAACCGCCCCTCGGCCTAAGAACCAAAATCAGCCGGAACAGATTAATTGGTTTTCAGTGCATTCCTATGGGAAATGCTGATTTGACTTACAAAGTTTTCAACTTACAAACTTCCTTCCGGAATGGACTAAGTTCGTAAGTCGAGGGTTGACTGTAGATATTGTTTTCTCATGTTTTATTTAAAACACGTTTCCTAAATTTATTCCAGGAGAAGGCACAGGTGAATCCAACAAATAAATATAATGACAACTTCTATGGATTATACTGCATCTGCAAAAGGCCATATCCAGATCCTGATGATGAGGTGAGGCAGTGATTCTTATAGTGATTTATATAAGAAGATGGAAATAATTCTTGCTTGTATGTGATATTTAAATTTCCAATACTTTGATGGGTCATATATATGGTTGTTTTAGGTTTTAAGGGCTGTTTGGCCGTGTTCCGAAGATTTTTCTTCAGACAAAAAGCTGATCCTGCAGCTACAAATGCTCAGCTATCCCACACACTACACCAGAACACAGATAGAGTTCTAACTCCTGTCCTCTGAAGATGCCGGCCAAAGAGACTGGCGAAACAGAAGGAAGAAAAACCTCCAGAACACGGCCAAACACCCCGGAAAACCTGCAACAATCATTGGATCCCAGCTGTAAAGCCTTCAAGAATACAATGCTATATACAGTGGTGCCTCGCTTAACGAGCACACCGTATAACGAAGAATCCGTATAGCGATCCCTTTTTGGGGATCACTATACGGAGCTGCCCCAATCGCCGCACTCGCTTTGCGACGATTGGGGCGTCCGGCGGCCATTTTGGAGCCGCCGAACAGCTGAT